CCCATGTACAACAAATTGTAAACCATTCTGGTAAATAGGATTAACATACATTGCCCAGATTTGCAGCATTACGAACTTGGTAGCTTGTCCAGATTTGAAGCATGTCGAACTCGTAACTGGGAAAAAGATTAAAATATGAATCATATCACATGTTGTAGGCTCGAACCAGGTAGCTCAAACTCTCTTTCTTCAAGCACAAGTAAGCTTCCTTTTAGCACAAGCAAACTGCTAGAAAACAGTTTTCGTACGAACTTCTTGCCTTTCGTTCGAGGCCTTCAAGAACTCCAATCTTTCATCCAATTCCTTTCCTTGATAGATAAACATACCTAATTTCATGTTGTGGAAGCCTTTTGACTTGAATCATATCCATGCTCCTCAAATTGATCTTCAAACTAGGCTTCACAAAACAGTTTTCTGCCTTGGTCATTTTTAGGCAGTTTTCATATTTCCAGATAGCATCTTTGGACGTCTGGAAATTGACCTTATGGACTTCCTCTTGAGCTACCATGCATACCATTGTATAGATAAACTTCTCATAGTAAAAAAAACAAGCTATCAAACTTGAATTTTCATTGAGCCAATTGAGAGAACCAAGCCTCCAAAGTAGGCTACCTGAAACTGTTCCAACACTTAACCAAATTCCGACCTTCTTCTTCCCAACTTCGATAGCTTCTTCGCCAAGTAATTTAAATGTGTAGAGTTGGCTATTTGGGATCATATCAGTTTTGTCACTTTCTGAAGAACATGAAGGTTCCTGATGGCTTCTCATCAAATATATCTCATTGCATAAATGTAGATGGACATAATATATCTGGTTTGAAAGCCACAATTGTCATGTTATTCTATAACATCTTATTCCACTTGCCATACAAGGTCTTCTACCGAAGGGTGTTTCTGACCCTCTTATAGGATTGTCAGATTGCTTCAAGAGCTTGTGTTCGAAATAACTTAAGGTGCAAGAGTTGGATAGAATCAAACCTAAGTTTCTAGTGACTGTTTGTGAATTAGAAATGATCTTTTCGCCTGCATTCTTTGATGTTATGCTGCATTTGCCTATGCATTTGGCTGACGAGGCTATGTTGGTGGTCCAGACCATTTTTGGTGGATGTATCCTATTGAGCGATACTTGCATGATTTGAAGTCATATGTTAGAAATAGGGCGCAATCTAAGGCATCCATTGCAGAAGGATATATCGCTTCAGAATGTATGACATTATGCTCTAGGTACTTGAATGGTATCGAAACAAAGTTCAATAGGGTTGAGAGGAATTATGATGGAAATTATGTGCAAGATTTTCTTGAATTCTCACAAGTCGGGTGATTCTGAGGTAGTCATGATAATATTCGCAAGTTTAGTTCAAATGAATGAGAGTAAGCCCACATTTATTTGATGAAGAATACATAAGAAGTGCAACCATTTTTCTAGTAAGATTTTTATTATTGTGTTTTCGAGTAAGATTTTTATTATTTTGTTAACTATCTTTTATCTTAGTTTATTGAAGCTTAATTTATACTTATATTTATATTATGCTCTGCTATTATACATTGTAGAGAATTTAGTCACCTTTGTGAGTATGATTTGTTGGGAGTAAAATAAAAGGAAGATGAAGCAAGCTTCACTTGGTTCAGGCAAACGGTAAGCTCTTTTTCCTCCTTATAGGAACATACCTCTGCATTATAACAAATTTATATATGGTGCTGGCTCGTTTCTTAATTGTTTAGTTATTTAGATTGAATTGGGTTTCTTAATTATTTAGTTCCCATTTCATGTGGGAAAATGAGGGCCAAGGAAGTGGTAGATAGAATTAATCACCTTGAATCACAGTCTAATGCTGCTGTCCATAAAAGATGCAACTGTAAGAAATATTTTACAATACAATTCATACTGCAATTGTTCAAGTGTACAGTTTGGAATTTTTATTGGGTTGTGGGACGCAACCAGCCAATACCACTTATATATATATGTATAACAATTGGTAAGTTTAATTTATACAGCTTGTATTTTTTGTGGATGGATTAGTTCTAATACTTACAAAATCTACTACATTATGTTCTAAAAACGTGTCAAAACCGTTGTTGCATGTTGCAACTTCATATGAACCTAATGAACCTAACAAGAGTAAGAGATTGGATGACCGATTGTCACTATCACGAGGCCCTGCTCAAACTATCAAGTGTTATACAGGTATGTCCTGAATGGTTTTCGCTTTCACACAAAACATTATGAAAAAAACTCGAGGACTCAAAATAATGAAGTTTTTGTAGTTGGTAATGATGGAGTTTATGTGAATGCTATAGAGTACTATGATACTTTAAGAGAGGTAATTGACTTGAAATTTCTTGGAGGAAGATCACTAGCTTTGTTTAGGTGTGATTGGTGCGATGTCTATGATAAGACAAAAGGGTTGCTAGTAGATTACCATGGGTTTGTGAGTGTCAACCTGAATAGAACGCTGAAGACAAATGTTAATAAGAACTGGCACTTGGCTGTAAAGATGCCACCTCGATCCATGGAAAAGTTGCAAAATGAACATAACACTGACAGATAATATGAAATGGTTCAGCCTATGGATTGGTATGGTTTTCTCTTATGAAGAACTACTACTACTTTTTTTCTCGGATATGAATGATTTTTAAGCATGTCTTCTTTGTTTGTTTGTTATAGATGTTAGGCTAAAATTTGTTATTAGGGAAGATGCTATGCCAGTTGTATCGTGAATAGGAAGAACAAGGTACTTCCTTTTAATCCAACTATATTACTTCTTGATAGTTGTGATGCTATGCCAATTGTGATGTGAATAATAAGTCCAGTATATGATAAGTCCTTTTAATATTAACTTCAGAATGATATTTTTATTCATTATTGGTGCATGACTATAATCAGGATGCATAGTTTAAAGGGTTAATAGCATATCTTGCCCCTCTACTATGTACTTTTCTCAAACTTTCCCTTCTATTATGATTCACATCAAACTTACCCCCTCTACTACGACAAATTCTCAAACATACCCCTCAGTTACATTTTCCATCCAAAATCATGAAATTTGGTCAAACCATGGTCTAACATGCCAGAAAAGACCACTGATTAGTCTCATATTCAATCCTCTCCGCGTGTTCCTCTCCAAATTCATACAGTTGATCCTCAATTATTATATTGTGTAGAATAACACATGTTAGCATAATTTCTCGCAGTGTTTGCAAATCCCAAAACTGACCCAGTATTCTAACAATGACCCATCTTTCTTATAGAATGCCAAATGCTCTCTCAACATCCTTGCAGTATGCCTCTTGCCATTTTGCAAACAACTTCTTCTTTTGGTTATTAGTATTGCTAATGTTCTTCACAAATGTAGACCATTGAGGATAAATCTTGTCAGCCAAGTAAGAACATTGAACGCAAATTGTACCATTTACCTTATACCGTCAGCCACAATATTATTAAAGTTGAATGGACAATTAATTAATGGTTGATAAACAGTTGATGAAAACATTCAATATGATTAAAACTGGATGAACAGTCGATGACACCACTCATTCTGACTAAAACTGCACGAACAGTCGATGCCACCACTCATTCTGACTGTAGTTGGGTGAATAGTTGATGGCAAAACTCATTCTGTAATACATGTGATGAACTATGGTCTTCTGAAAAATTATTGTGGTTTCGTCATTGACGACTTCATATTTAATTAGTAACGCAAAATTATGTCAAACTTAAGAAAAATTATATAAAAAAGTCCTTCAATAATTATTACTAAGAGTCATGAAAGTACATCCAACGATTATGATCCATCAAAGTTCATGAAAGTACATTCAACGTTCATATTACTAAGAGTTACGTTCTTCATATTCTACGATTATACTAGCCTTCACTACTAGAGGTCACAGTATTGAGTTGTGGTTTATGTTTAGAGACTTAAGGGCAATGGTTCACCCACTATAGGGCAGCATTTAGTAACATACCCAAAACGACGATAAATTCATGGTTTATATAGTTTCACCTCAGTGGCATTTATACTCCAATAATGCTATAAACCTAGAGTATATGATATTCCAGGTGTTCTTAGTGAGATATCTCTAACTACACCATGTATTAAACCGATTATGGGGTATGATACTATACCCTTACCGATAATGGTAACCCTAGTCCCCAATTATCACTACAAAAAAACGGGTCATTAGTGACAAAAATTAGCGATGATGGGTCAATTTTGTCGCTAAAAGTGACTTTTAGGCACGATATTCCACTTTCGTCAATTATATTCCGTCAACAAGTTATGTATTTGCGACAAAGCATAGACGTCGTCGATAAAGACAATAATCTTTGTCACTAAATCTAATTTTTGGAGGGAAAAATTGGCGCCATGGTTATCTGCTACGAATAAAATCTGGTCGTCAGTAATGTTCCGTCAAAACATTGCTTTTGTGACAAAGCCTACATGTCGTCGAAAAAGACAGGCATTAGTGACAACCTTTAGCGAGGGCAGGTCAAATTCGTCGCAAAGAATACTTTTAGGGATGACGTTACACTCTCGTCAATAATGTTTCGTCAAAATTTTATGTATTTGTGACGACGGTTGTATCTTGTCGGTAAAAAAGATGAATTTTTGGCACTAAGTCTAATTTTTGGAGGGAAAAATTGGCGCCATGGTTATTTGTGATGAATATCATTTGTTTGTTCGTAATGTTTCGTCGTAAAAAAATATATTTGGGACAAAGGCTATTCCTTGTCGGTAAAATCTGAATCCTCATCACTATGTTCATTCTTTGGATTGCGACAGCCTGTAACCCGTTAGTGAAATTTGTTCCTCAGAATTTATTACGTGCATTAATTCCTTCGAAAAGAAACAATTAATGGGAGAGGTGGCGTTATCATATTTGTGGTAAATTTTGGTGCCTGATTTATACATTGACCAAAGAGGAAGCAAAGGGACGTGATCTGTGAAAGGGCAGTGACATTCAAATTCATTATAACATCTATTTATCAAACATGGTACCAAAAAAATGGAACTGTCGATGTGAAACACATAAATATTTTAGCAAAACAAAAATATCCATCTCAACCTACAACTCTTCAAGCCCCTCTCTACTCCAATTTATTCCATCATCTTCATCATTTCCAGTCTCTTGAGGAGTAGTTACTGAAATAATTTCCTCTTGGTATGCTTCGTCACCACCATCACCATCATCACCAACATCATCTGGCATCTGAAACAATTTTCTAGGCTTTGTTTCAATAACTGTTGCCCAGTTAGGATCTTTGATACAGGGCACATAATAAACTTGTGTACACTGACTGGCTAAGACAAAAGGTTCTTGAGTATTCAATAGTCGTGCCTTATTGATGGTAGTAATACCATGATGATCCTTATAGCCAGTGCCTTCACGAGTTATATCATACCAATCACACTGAAAAAGCACAACTCGAAGGCCTTCTGTGTATCGCAGTTCAATGACTTTAATAAGAGTCCCATAATAAGGGATGTTGTCATAATTCTCCCCTCTCACCATCACACCACTATTTTGAGTACGTCTATTCTGCTCGCGATTTGTTATGTGAAATCTGAACCCATTAATATAGTAACCTGAGTGGTAGTTGACTCTTTTATCTGGTCCACGAGCTAGAGATAGTAGAGAAAGACTCACACTTTGAGGATGCTCCTGATATGTCATCATAATCTACAATTAAGAAGATAAGAATCAATAAGCATTTCTTATGAATTTACTAAGTCATAAACAATGAGTGCACTTACCTTTTTGCTGAACCATTGTGCAAATTGTTGTTTGTGCATTAGTTCAATCCGACGAACACCTCTGGAAGCTAACATGTCTTTATGTTCTCTATACACAAACAATATGATCGATCAATAAGATATGAAAAGAAAAAAACAATCTTCCAAAATATGATGCTATAGGATTTCTAAACCACCTGGAATATTCTTGCAACTCATCACAATTTTCCAAGACATAGAAAATAGCGGCATCCAAAAGGTTGCCGTTCAATTCTTCCATATTTGGGTTTCCTCCTAGATGATGGCCCACATGTGAAACAACCGATAGTTTGTGATACTTCGAAGAAGAAGGATTGACATGATCGTCATTCCTCTTTGGCCGATTAAATACAGTATCCACTCCAGTCAAATAACGTGAGCAAAATGTGAGGCATTCATCGATCAAATAAGTCTCAGCTATAGAACCTTCTGGACGTGCCTTATTGCCAACATAGCCTTTTAGCTTTTTCAGAAACCTTCAGTAAGTAGAATAGGATAGTCGGATTAAATGAAAATTGAAAGAAGCAGCGCATAAAACACAGCAACAAACAAAATTAAATGAAAACCGAAAGAATCAGTACATAAAACAAAAATGAAACGGAAAAGAAAAAAATAGCAACAACAAAATGAAAGCCAAAGAAAAATATAGCAGCAAACAAATTGATGAACCTTATTCAAAACATAAGGGTTAATTACTCATTGTATGCATAATCGTCCCTTTCCACTCCATAGAAGGTATTAATTGACTAGAGTAGAAAAGGCATACATACAACATCAAGCCTTTAGAAATAAAAGGCAGAGAAATACATGACAACATCAGTACAAACATTCATTTTAAGGGTATCAAACTGCTGGTCATATATATTACAACTATAGGACAAGTAAACCTGTACAATATCCCAGCAACAAATACATGACAACAACTTAACATAACAAATTTTGACACAAAATAGAAAAAGAAATCAATTGCAATAGAAAATAAAACATCACAACTAAACTTTTATTGAAAAGGAAAGCACAACACTTTTGTCCATAACATATCAGTCAAACCAAGCTCCGTTACATAAAAAATGTTAAAGAAACCTGTTGGAGAAGGTACGTACCTTTCAATCGGATACATCCAACGGTATTGCACTGGACCAGCAATTCTTGCTTCCCACGGGAGATGGATTGACAAGTGAATCATAACATCAAAGAATGCCGGTGGGAAAATTCTTTCCAACTTACAAAGTGTCAAAGCTATTTGATTCTCTAGATTATCTAGATCCTCAACCTTCAACTCTTTTGAGCATATTTCCCTAAAAAAATTACTGAACTCAATCAGTGCATCAGATACATCTTTCAGTAATAGCTCACGAACTGCAAGTGGTAGCAATCTTTCTAAGAAGATATGACAATCATGAGTCTTCATCCCTGAAACTTTGCTTTCCTCAAGATTAACACATCTAGATATATTTGCAGAGTAACCATCAGGAACTTTTAAACTTGAAAGCCATTGACAAAGAAATTTTAATCTACTTGTGAAGAAATAGATAGATTAAATTAAGAGAGAGATACAATACAATAGAAAACATTTATTCTACTTTTTTTTACCGAAATACAGTACATTGATTTGGCCCATCCCTAGTTCTGCAAGAGACGAAACCAAATGGGAAAATAAGGGAATTAGTAGAAAACATAAATTGAATCATTAATAGAAAATATCAAATAAAACCATTATCTCCTCATTAGTCATCCCTACCACATATCTCGCGTAGCAGTGGAAGAAACCTAAAACTACTTCCCTTCTCTATCCGTTCCTCTCTTCTTTCTTTCTCATATCACGCCCGAGTCGGAGGTTTTTGGGGGAAGTACTTTAAACGTGGTTGTCGCTAGAATTTGGGGAGATTTGGCGGGATAAATCCAATGGAATCAGCAAATTGGCTGGCGATTGAATTATTTCTCCCAAAGAGATGATTAAGATCTTGGGTTATTATAAAATCAATACTGGATGAGAAGGAGAAGCTAGTCCGAGACTCTCTAAAGGTGATCTCATAAACCCTAGGCTGTTTTTCCATTCAGCGTACTCTGCTTTTTCTATTATCCACTTTTACACTATTTAATCATGTTATAAAGCGTCTGTTGTGTTGCAGATTCACTATTTTTGTGAGAAGGATCACAAGGTCTCATATAACCAGTTCTGCACAAGGTGATTTTTGATTCTTTTTATAGCAATCAGTCAATCTTTCAACTTGATTTAGTTATAGGGTTCATTTGTTTTGGCTTTCTGGGGTTTTGAATAAGAGGAAGAAGCAATACATGGGCTTATGGGGTTCATTTGTTTTAGCTTCGTGTTTTAACTTGATTTAGTTATAGGGTTCATTTGTTTTAGCTTCGTGTTTTCATTTATGCATGAACAAGGGGAAGAAACAACTTTGGTTATGGGATTTCATTTTATTTTTTTTGCTTTATGGGTTCACGGTCGGATTCTGCCCTTCCACAAAACATGTACAATTCGCCGTGTCTGATGTGCAGTAAATACTACCATACCAAGTTGAAAGTTAAGCACACCACTCCAATATATAAACCTCCATTGAAGATGGTAATGGTGGAGAATTAGGGCGTGATGGGGGATCGATTCCCCCCTTAATAGAATTTGGCTCGGTATAAAATGATTATTTTTTGGTTGAACCATCAGATTAATTTCGTGTCTCTAGCAATGGCACCAATTTTTGTTTAATTGCGAAGTTCATAGGGAACCCAGTTTGTGAAGGCTAAGGGTGGAACAGAATGGTTATGTATGGCTTTTCATATGGGTTATGTAGTTCTTTCTGTTTTGGTTTCCTCCCTTACGTTTTGGCTTTAATCCCAACCTTATTAAAGTTGTGTTGCGCTTGTAGAAGAGGAAGTCTGGGAAGTCTCACAAGGTTGGGAAGGCTGGACAGAAACGTAAGCGTCAGGAGAGGGAAGGCGAAAGGGTGGAATAGGTGGAAGCTGTGACCGAATACGAAGAGTTTACGCCTAATGGATCATCTTCAGAGGCTCCTGCAAGTGAAAGATCAACTGCTCCATCAATTGGGGAAAGTAGTCAACCTGGTAAATATCACAATACATGTTAATTGTCCACAACTGAGTTATATTTAAACAAAATCAATCTTAATTGCCCTTGTACCTCTTTTTAGCTACCGCAAAGAGTAAGAAAGTTCGAGGCAAGGGCAAAGGAGTTAAGCCAGGGCACAACATAGCTCTTGAAATATATGATAAGAGGTCTGTATAATTGATGACAAGTTGTATGTTTCTTGTCCATGCTCTTCATTTAATGTGATTTTTGTGAGTCAAATGTTATATGTTTCCCCGACTTGGGAATTTGCATCTTCTGTGAGACACGTTTGTGCTACTTTGTATTTTTGCTTTGCAGGGCACGTTTCTGCTTGTTTTTTCTAGGCCTGTTGTTTGTATAGGCTGTTTTTTGTATAATTTGATCGTCATTGATTCCATTTTCAGGATAATCACACCACCGGTTGTTCATGAAATCAGTAAACTCTTCCACCAACATATCAAAGGTCCATGGACAACATTCTCGCAGTTTCCTAAAGAAGAATTGGATGCGTTATATGCACGTTTCAAGGAAGCAGGCTTCAACTGTTCACTTCCAGAAGAAGAAGTGGAGCAAGCTGTTAAAAACTATTTCAAGATGCAATATGGAAAATGGATGTTTGCCCTTCGAAATGAAGTATTTTCCAAGTTTAGGTCATTGAGTGATATCTACAAGAATCCTCCTGCATCTATAGCTCCTTCTGTTTGGAAGGAAATGGTCGATAAATGGAATGCTCCGACATGGAAGGTATGATTCGATTCATAGGATTAAATTGAACACTTAGTTTTCATTATTATTCTAATTATTATCCATTCATTTTGTAGGAGATAAGTAAGAAAAATAAGCAAAATAGAGCCAAAAGTGAGCTGATTTCAACTGGTGGTTCTGTACCAGCGGCAAAATATAGATATGATATGGTATTTATCTGTCATGAACTTATATTGCACCTTTAATTTTTGTACTATCGAGTCTAAGTTTAGTTGTTCCTTTGCAGAAAAAGACAACTGGACAAGAGCCAACTCCAATGGATCTATGGAAACGACAGCACATGAAAAAGAACAAAGAGTTCAGTACCCCAAAGGCTCAAGAGATTAATGTATGGTTTTTGTCTTTTATCTTTATATGTCTTATTGCCTCGTTACGTATGTTGCTTTCTATAGTCTTGTTAATGATGTATGGTGCTTTCAGGATGAGATGGAAAAAAGAGTTGCTGAGGCTCGGGCTAAAGGTGAAGAACCCAATCATTGGGACATATATCGCCAGGTTGTTGGGGAGCCACGCAAAGGTCGAGTACTTGGGATGGGTTTGGGAGTCACAGCAGCAGATGTTTATGGCTATGCCTCAATAGATGGTTGTAGTAAACGCTGCCAAGAAGATCGCTTAAAAGAGAAAGAAAAGAGTGATGCAGTCATCAAAGAATTGCAAGAAAAGATAGTATCGGTGGAAAATTCAGTTCCTCAGCTTGTTCAAGCTGCCTTGATGCAGTTTGGTATAACGGTATGAAACATGTTACAATACGTACTATTTTTACCTATAGAATTCTTTCTTAATCTTATTCTTGTTAATGTTTAATAGGTTAACATGACCAGCCAAAGTGGAGATGAAAGTGATGAAGACAGCAGTGATGAAGAAGAAGGAGAAGAAGAAGAAGGAGGAGAAGGAGGAGAAGAAGATGAAGAAGAAGAAGACGAAAATTTAGAATACGACTCAGATAATTAAGATTGATATTTTGTTTTATTATTGGACTAGTTTTCATATTCATATTTCTCTATTTTATGTTTATCAAATATTGGTCAGATAGAATATTATTACTTATAACATTTGGAATATTTAATTTTTTAGATTACCTGGTTTTGTCAATATAGTCTCTTTGTTGCAAATCAACATATTTCTGACAACCATATTTTGTCAAAATAATTAATCTAGTGAAAGAAACCATATCGTCGCTAATAGTATAGTATCTTTTCTTCAAACTAATTAAATTAGTGATGGCTACATATCATCGAGAACAATATTTTTTCGACAAACTACTTATTTTGGTGACGGCTACATATCATCGCTAATAGTATTTTTTTCGTCAAGATTAAGTAACGTCGTAAATATAATATTTGTGACGATGTTAAATTGTCCCAAATATCATTAAACGTCGTCCTAAAAAATGTATTACCGATGACTTTATTAATTATAGAGACGAATATGTATCGTCATAAATAAAAGGGAAGAGATCCTTGTATATAAGTGTCCGCCTAGCCCAATTAGTGTGAGGCCTTTTGGGGAAGGATACCCAAAAGTAAAACCGTGCGGGCTTGGCCCAAAGCGGACAATATCGTTCTGATTAAGCGGCCCGATTTCGACAAGTAGTATCAGAGACTGATTCGACGAATTCGGGACGGTGGACATCAGTTTGGTGACACCCTCGTTCTGTGGACCTCAGGATTTGAGATCTGCGTCTGTTTGGCAAATCAAAGACAGTTCTGCGCCTGGGCTGTTTGGTGGATCCAGGAGAGATCCAAATCGGCTTGGTGAATCAAAGAGAGTTCTGCGTCTGAAAAAATCCTTGTACCGAGAAGCCCCTACAAAATTAGGAAGCATAGGGGACATACATTAGGGACGGTACTGAAGTTAGTCTTAGGAAATATGATTTTAAGTGGTATAAGAAGAGACAAGCATGTACAGTTGTCCCTATCAAATAAGAAAACAATTTTGAGTTGATTTTAGAATTTTTAAACTGTCCCCAAAAGAAAAGTTTCGGAATAAGTAGAAAGATAGGTAGATTTCTTATCATCATCAAAGTACTCGTGTGAATTTGTGAATTTTTTATTGGATGGTTTTTGTGGTACTGAAATCTTAATTAAAGGGAAATTAATTAAAGTAACTGAAATTTTGGGAAACAGAGCCCCAATATTGTATTTTTCCGCTATTTTCCTAGCAAAATAGAAAGCTACTTTGGGAATGAAATTTTATTTGGACCTAATTAATGTGTATACTTTTAAAATTTTCCTTCATCGTGAGTTTAATGTAAAAGTAATTAGTGAGGAATTTTGCAATACATTATAGTTTATAGTATTAGTGCTCAAATTGCGAAAACAATAAACTAGTTGTTCGTACAAATTCCATAGGTCCGGATTTGTTATTTCGAAGACACCCGTTAATAGATAAATAATAATTTAAACAAGTAGCATAGGTAGAGAAAAACTAAGGGACAATTGATCGTCTATGCAAGGTACATAGGAGATAATTAGTCGTGTTTCAAAGATTGGGCCCAGAGATAATTGGTTGTCCCTTCAAGTTACACATGGGGACACTCATCTCCGAAGACAAAAGTGAAAGGGCCATTGGTCAATACCTAAAAGTTACATAGGTGACAATTTGTTGTCCCTGAAGGACATACATGTGACAACTTGTTGTCCCTAAAAATATATAGTATAAGGGACCACTAGTTGTCCTTAAATCAAAATTTTGGGACGATATGTTGACTTAAATTGATAATTATAGGGACGATATATTGACCCCTATCCCAAAAAGAGGAATTTTACAATGCTTTAAAGCATTGGTGCTTGGCTTTATGGTACAACTTGAATTTGTACTTTTAACGTTATGACACAACTTAAAGTTGTAATTTATAGCACCAATACTTGAAAGAACCAAGCATACTAATACTATTGTGAAATGGATAGTGAAGGTTAATACTTTGCTCAGTTCAAGAAACATAAAGCCAAGGGAGACAGGTTCCTGAAATGGATAGTGAAGGTTAATACTATTATGACATGAAGCACATGACGAAAATGACGTTTATGAGGCATATGAAACATAAGAAAAAACAATGCACCAGAAAACCCCATATATCTTGGGTTAAAAACATGGTAGTTTTTATTAAAAAGCTGCAGAAAATACAAAGAAGAAAAAGGAAAGGAAATGAGACTATGCTTCACCATCATAAGGTCTGAAGCCAGTAGCAACTCCAAAGTAGAAAAGGCAAATTCAAGCCAAAACAACAAGGAACATCCTCCAATTAGGTATTACAAGAAGTAACACCCATCAAAAGAAGAATGTAGATCAACCCCGGAAATAGATCAACCCCATACATAAACACACAACAATTAAATAAACACAGTAGATGCTACCACTGAATGATGGCGTTTTCTCCAGTACGTACTAAACACCGAGGGAGACAGGTTCCTGGAGAACGGAGACAACATAGTGTTTCAGCAGATGAGAGTTTCTGTAGCCATCATCTTCCTTATAGATCAAATCTATAACCCTCGCAAGATTAAGCATCCGATCGAGGATAGGCGGCTTAGCCGCCACCACATTTGGCTGCCTGTTCATCATCAGGTACTCTTCGTTTATGTCCTTCCACGCCTTGGCAACCTCTTCATTAAGCAGTTCCACTACCTTCTCTTCCGACAGCCCCGTCTTGTCCACGTAACATTCTACGGCGGACGGGACATGCTTCCTTTCTTGCTCAAACTGTATGCATGCATGCATGCACGTAACTTATAATGCCATTACACAATATTGTAATGAATTAGCGCACGTGCAAATTAAACTGCCTACGCTACGTACGTACGTACGTACCTTGTGGGAGACAATGTCGTTCATTAACCTACAGACGGTTTTGGAGGCCACGAGCACAGTAGGGTCGGTGGAGATCCAGTGAAAGGTGTCCTCTGTTGCAGCTTCGGGCACGGCTAGGAATGAAACAATGGTGAGGAATGTAAAGCAAGTGGTCACCAATGAAACTTGCATGCACTCTTCTAGCTTCGGCCGATAACCCTCGTCCCTCCACTTGGCCTCCATTAGGTACGCCTTCAGCAGTGTGTCTAGCTGCATGCCACGATCATAAACATATAATTACTCAATATATCGATTAGAATTTGATTATGATAGAACATCAGTAGTACTAGTTGGACATGATATGATATATACTTTGTTACGTGTAACCTAGTGGCTTAATTGGTAGTCGACAAGATTAATTAAAGAAACACGTTAGTGTTAATGAGGTTATCGAAAAAGTTTAAAGGTTCCGTTCTAATTATTAACTGGAAAACTTCTCTTCTTCCAATCTTTCTCTCTTTCCTCATTCTTCTTCTTCCTATTCCAATCTTTCTTACTAAATCGTATTCCACAAAAGTGCACAGAATATATATACTTACGGCCTTTTTCGCGTAAACTATAGCAAATGGCCTTCCGTCTGCAGCGAATGCCTCTTCAATCTCGTCGAAACTATCGCGATACAACGCATAAAGCCTCTGCATGCATTCTGGGAGGTTACTCACGAGATTGATGTCCCACCTGCATGCATGCGACCAGTTAATTATGGTTTCCTTCTTAATTAACTTGAGTAGAAATAGAATGAATCAATTCTTCGACTAGGTAGTTAATGAATTATTACGTACCTTTCAATGGCCTCGGTGAAGGGAACGAGTTCTTCATATGTAGCATAGTTATCGTAAGTATCGTCCCCAAGAGACATGACCGCTATCAACTTGGTCAGTAGCCTCCTGCCTTGGCTATACTTGGGCTCAAAATACATCCCCATTACCCACAGGTAGCACTCCGCAATTCTATCTCTCGCGTATTTGAAGTTGGTCGCCACGTCCAAATCTACCCACCACCTATATATCAGAAGTTCCAACTTACATAAAGCGCGCGCATTTGTTGTTCTTAGAATTTTTCAGTCTCTGGGTACTTTAAAAGAGTACTTACTGCTGGATTTCACGGAGTTCTTCCTGATGCAGGCGTTGCACGATATTGAAATCCAACTGGGCAAACCTCAACAACGATGCAGAATTTTCTTTGGATGACTGATGGTCATCCATGTTAAAAGTGTCGATGTAACGCCTAGCCTCCAGCCTGGGCAAGCGCTTTCGGATTGGCCTTAGCAGTGCAAACCTTACTTCTTCCACCAAATTGGGATTCATTATCTTATTCCCACTATAATTACTACTCGCATAGGAGCCAAGGTGTTGCGTAGCGAAGGCCAACGCTTGGTCCAAAATATCTTCTCCTGGTATGGCCAGAAAACAAGCTTCGTACAAGCTCAGTAGAGATGGCACATCAGAGGCCAACGACACCTTGAAATTGCCCTCGCCCTCCTTGAATTTTCCGAATATATCTGCAATGCATATAGGAAAAATTGGATCGAAATGCTCTGCACAACTTATAGCGAGTTCGGTGAGTACTCAACTAAAACATAAATTAATCTTCTGTCATTCCTGTTGTATTATTGAGAACATGCATGATGTACATACATACCAGCAGAAGCATGTAGACCTTGTTGTCTAAGAAGGCGGAACCAAATCGCGATCGAGTTGAGGTCATTCGAGTCAGAAAGCAGATCAGTAGTCGACGACATGTTAAGCAACTCGTCTTCAATCTCGCTCTCAAAGTGGTAGCTCACCCCCAAATGCTGCAAAGCATCAATAAGCCGTAGTTTCTGATCAACAGCTGAACCAGCAGTAGTTACCATCTTCCTCACAGTTTCTTTCAGCTCCTCGTGTTCAACTTCAAATGTTAATAAACCACCCATGCCATCATCCTGCTGTTAACTTCATCAATCATCAGTTAGATAAATCAATTCATTTTCTCTGCGGTATCAAGGTTCGAACCCAGTGTATACAGTGGCAGGGACGGAGCCAGCTTGTAGTTAGGAGGGGCCATGGCCCCCACTAAATCGTTAAAATACCTAAAAGTGTAAGTAAGTGTAACAAGAAATGTTGGTGTCATGGTGGCTATGATATTCACCTAACTAATGAATTTGTTTGGGGGAATAAGAGTTCGAATCTTGGCAATGTAATTTTTTAAACCTAACTAATGAATTTGTTTGGGGGAATAAGAGTTCGAATCTTGGCAATGTAATTTTTTAAGCTTGTTACTGCCATTTTAATCATTTTTTAGTTATTGGTTAATGGGCAGCTCTTTTCCACCGCAGACATCACTCATCACAATCCAAACTTTTGACTCTATTCCGTGCTCTCTCTTCTAAATTCTGAAAATACTAGGAAATATAATAAGAATATAATGTATGCATTATTTCATTGTTATCAGACCTATTAATATAATGTATGTAGTATTTGGTTTTTAGGAGAGATAACTTATATTAGATGTGATAGAGACAAAAGGGTTTATATAAAATGTGGCAAAGAGATAATAATTTGAACTCTACCTCTGTTTCATTAAAATTTATGTTAGTTTTTAGATTAAAATTTCTGTATTTTTTGTCGATATCTTTACAGGTTGTTTCGTATTTCTACAAAAAAAAAATCACTTTTGTATCTATAATCGGTTAAATTAGTCTACTTTATTGTATTATTAAGCAATATTCAAATTTAAAAATTATGGTGTATGAAACACATGGTTTTATCACAAGTTAAGAAAAGATAAGTTATTATTTTTGTGATTTTGAAACAATTTTAAGTGGGTTATATATATAAAAAAATTGTGAACTCTTTGTATTTAAACTTATGTTTGTGACGACATAATTTTTGCATAATTTATACGGACGTACGGAGAGTGCGTATAACGAACCTGTAGGGTGAGAAAATCATCCACCCACAACGTGAGAGGATAGAGGGCAGTTGGCCGAATGAGCAGATCATCAGAGGTTGCTGCTGCTGCTTCATCTGCAGTCGAGTATGACGTAGACATTCTCAATACGAGCTTTGAATTAAGTTATTACTTAATTTTGTAGTGGGACTTGGTCGACTCAAGAATCTTGACGATATTTATAAGCCAATCAAACACAGTAGCTAGGGACTATAGCACCCAAAACAACACACAAAGGAAAAGGCATTATTACTTTGGCAAGACGACGGACAGCTAGACCACGAAAAATATCCATCGCAAGTGGACTAGTGGCGTTTCTGTGGTAAAAAGAAAAAGACGACCCTTCTGCATGCAGCCGCTTTATCGTCTCTGTCTACTGTTCGTCCATTGATTCCCCCACCTATAATATCACAACTCCATCTCCATGCGTCTCTCTCTACTGTTTGTCCCAAACAAAAGGTTGCAAATTGCAATGGCGTTCCCCATCTCTCTTCCCTTCAATAATAATTTGCAACTAAAAATATCCCAACAGCTCACATGGGAAGGGATTGGTTATATCAATAATGCATCAATTATTGGGTCTCCATGTCGACAATCTGAGCAGAAAATGGCAGGGAAATATGAAATAATTTAAGCACGTTGGAAGAGTCAGAGTGGATAGCGGATAGCGAGGTCAGGTTAATCTCATTATTGTTAGTTGGTCGAGTGCGAGACCGAACTCTTCTTCCCTACAGATTTGTACCCTTTCTTTTGCCTGCAAGAAACCCTAATCGCACAAAAAGAGATCAAGTGAAAAACTCATGAAATGAAGAAGAAGGCAGAAAAAATAATTAAATGTTATTTTGTTTGATATTAAAACTAAATGGACTATTTGTAAATAGATTGGGCTGGGCTTTGCGTTCTTTCTTGTTCGGTTTGCACCACAGATCTGTTGGGCCTGTTCTACTAGAGCCCAATCTCAGCGTCAAATTGTCTTTCCCGGAGTTCCGTTCAGCAGTTCCCCTGTTTCACTATCAAGCACACAAAAAACATAACAAAGAGCACAACACACAGCAAAAGTGAAAGGACAAGACATAAGATCGGATTTTTACGTGGTATCCGATATTGAGAGAATAAGGATCTCAATATCGACTAATCCACAGTAGGAGATTCTCCTCTTGAGATCTCCTACGTAACTACTACTACGACTAATTCACCTCTTCTTTTTACAAGTGACGAACAACTTGACTCGGGTCCCTGCCAAACAATTATTCCCAGCTCTGATGTATCAACTCCCCTTTTATACACTCAGACTAACTACGCAAATCTCCCTGACTTGCTAGCTCATAGTTTTCACTCAAAAAGACTACAATTGATCTCACAATCAATGCAGTCAAAAGCGCGATTCTACCTAAAAGCGGAAAAGGGGTAAAATGAAAAGCGACGAATCAAAGCGTAAAAGCGTAAGTTTTTGATGCATCATGTATAATAGTTAAAAATATGTTAAGTACCACATGTATTATGCAAAATATGAGTGCATGAAGTTCAGACAAGTGAATAAATACATGCAATTCATGTCCAAATTAAAGCAAATTCATAACATCTTAACAATAAGTTCATAAACATAAATTGTAACCCACAAACGAGTTAATAACCAAATTCTCACAACATTAGCTTCACATTCTGCCCTTGGTTTCTCAAAGGTTCAATTAGAAACACCACATATACATAATTTAGCAGTAGCATACGTAGGTAAACCAGTAGGTTATACGCCTATTGGAAATTATAAGTAGTTTCCTTCATTTTGCTGGGTTGGTTTAAATTATTGAGAATGTGTGAGTTGTAATTTAGCTAGAAATACCTGTTAGGTTATATGTTCAGGGTGGACTAAGAGTTGAGAAGGGGAAGCATTTACCCACCATTTAGGAGTTATAGGTGAAGTGGCGACGAGGTATGACAAGATAGAGACAGAAACTAACATGGTGTAACGCCAGCGAGTGGCGACAGGCGACGACGAGTGCGACGGGTGCTGCCGCGTTGGAGCTATCGAGTGCGACGGGCTAGAGCTTCGCTGGAAGGTGGCGACGACGGTTGCGGACTTGCAGCGGCGGCGAATACTTCACTAGAAGGCCGGCTGCGCGGCGGCGCAGAGTGTGCTGGAGATGGAGGATTAGGGATTGCGGAATAGTGGTTTGGCAACCTCAGCCTAATATCCACCCCCTTTCACCCTTTTTTTTTCCCGAAGTGATCAAAATGGCGTCGTTTTTGTTTGGAGGAGACAATTTTCTCCTTTGCTTGGAATCGGATAAAAACGGTATGAAAGCGCGCTTTTATCCGATTTTAAAGATTTTAATGATTCTACTAGCGCTTTTGACTGATTTTGAGTAAAATACGATTTTATTAGTGATTTGAAACGTTTTCCTACCCTAGAAACGTAAAATCGTACGATTTTACGCTTTAAAGCGCGATTTTGACTACACTGCTCACAATGACACAACCCTTTTTTATCTCCTTGAAAACGCGAGTGCCAGTCTTACTCCTCTATCTTTTTATAGTCCTCTATTCTTGAATTAGCCGTTGAGAAGAGTTTTGATCTGATTTCCCAGAATCTGTTGTAACCTTCCTTCTTGAGACTTGCCTTCTTTGTTTTGATTGATTCCTTTGATTCTTTTCTTCTTTGCTATTGACAGGCTTCTCTCAACATGCTTCCCCTATGCTTGTCAATGACTCATCTTGCTGTAATCGTATTCTCTACACACACTCAACACACCATTGGTGCAGTCTGTTGTATACGTGATGTATAAAGAAATGCAATGAGGAGCTCTTATTTTATTTTATTTTATTTAAGAAGATGCTCAAAGGATACAGAACCTTTAATCAAACTCAAAACACGAACACAAGAGAGACAGACTTGACACTAACAAACTGAACCCTACAAGACTTCTCTAGACCGAATACTGCAGCCCCCCCTATGGTGAGTAACCAGGTTTCTAGAAAGGATAGTTGGGAGGTGACTCATAGTCTGAGATCTCATCTCCAGAGCTAGAGTTAGAAGATATAGGATCAAAATCGTCCGGAGCAGGCACAATTTCATCAGTTTCCAGAAGTTCACCAAAAGTAGACTTCCTGGTGTATACACATTCAGCATAATCTGAATTTGAATATCCAATCACCTCAAGGTGATCAGATCTCCTAAAGGTGAGCATGTGATATTTTGTTCCTTGCAGATACCTTAGTATTTTCTTTGCAGCTTTGCAATGATCTACTCCTGGATTACTTTGATACCTGCCCAGCATTCCAACAACAAAACTAATGTTTGGTCTGGTACAAGTTTGTGCATAATTCAAACTTCCAACAAGAGATTCATAAGGAATGTGTTCCATTTGCTTGCGTTCCAATTCATTCTTTGGACTGAATTTATCTCCCTTCTGAATTGGAACGACATTTGCAGAGCATTCAGCCATGTTGTTTCTCTCTAGGATCCGATTAATGTATGATTTCTGAGACAATCCCAACAGTCCTTGTGATCTATCACCAAATATTTCTATTCCAATCACATATGATGCTTCACCCAAATCCTTCATTTCAAAGTTCTTAGAGAAACTCCTTGGTTTTGATGTAATAAACCAAGATCATTAGTAGCAAGCAAGATATGGTCAACATACAGAACCTAAATTATAAATTTACTCCCACTGATCTTCAGATATATACATTGATCGACGATGTTTTCCTTAAATCCAAAGGATGTGATGGTATAATATACCATTGTCGGAAATCTTGTTTAAGTTTGTATATTGACTTCTTTAATTTACACACCATATGTTTCTTTCCCTCAACCACAAAACCCTCAGGTTGATTCATATAGACTGCTTCATCTGAATTCTCATTTAGAAAGGCGGTTTTCCAATCCATATGATGGAGTTTTAGATTATAATGAGCTACCATTGCCATGACAATCCCTAAGGAGTCTTTCTTAGACATGGGTGAAAATGTTTCTTTATAGTCAACACCACTTTTCTGAG